TAGGGAAATTTTCATTGGTAGAGAATTGGTGCTAGGGAAACTGTTAGTACTAAAGAGTGACAAATCCCCTGGTCCGGACGGCTTGCATCCCAGGGTTTTAAAAGGGGTATCTTATGAGATAGTGGAGGCCTTGTGTCTGATTTTCCAAAATTCCTTGGATTCTGGAACAGTCCCCATGGATTGGAAGATTGCAAATGTCATACCACTATTTTAAAAAGGTGGAAAGGAAAGGATGGGAAACTATAGGCCAGTTAGTCTCACATCACTGATAGGAAAAATTTTAGAATCGTTGATTAAGGATGTGGTAGTGCGGTATTCAGGGGAGCACAATATAATTAGGCCAAGTCAGCATGGCTTTACAAAAGGGAAGTCATGTTTAACAAATTTCATAGAATTGTTTGAGGATATTTCGTGTAAACTAGATAAGGGTGAATCAGTGGTTGTGGCCTATTTAGACTTCCAGAAGGCATTCGATACGGTGCCACATAAAAGGTTAGTCCAAAAGATAGGGGCCCACGGAATTGGGGGGAGCATATTAACATGGATTGGGGAATGGTTAACGGGTAGGGACAAATAGTAGGGATAAACGGGTCCTTTTCAGATTGGCGGGATGTGACTAGTGGAGTGCCACAAGGATCAGTCCTTGGGCCTCAGCTATTTACCGTCTACATCACTGATCTAGATGAGGACATCGAAGTTAATATATCTAAATTCGCGGATGACACAAAACTAGGAGGAAGTGTCAACACAGAGGATGACATTAAAAAAATGCAGCGAGACATTGATAGGTTAGGTGATTGGGCAGGTAGGTGGCAGATGAAGTATAATGTAGGGAAGTGCGAAGTCATCCACCTAGGTAGCAAAAACAGTAGAGCAGGTTATTTTTTAGAAGGGGAGAGATTGGAATGTGTTAGCGTCCAGAGGGACTTGGGTGTCCTTGTACACCAATCACAGAAAGTTAGTCTACAGGTGCAGCAGCAATTGGGAAGGCGAATGGTATGTTAGCATTCATAGAATCATAGAATTATAGAATCGTACAGCACAAAAAGAAACCATTCGGCCCATCGAGTTTGTGCCGGCTCTTTGATTAGAGCAATTAATGTCAATCCCACTCCCCGGCCCTTTCCCCATAACCCGGGTTTCGTCCTCCTTAAATACCCGTCCACCGCGTTTTTAAAAGTAGTTATCAAATCGGCCTCCACCACCCTTTCAGGCAATACGTTCCAGATTCGAACAACTCGCTGCGTGAAAAAAATTCTTCTCACCTCCCCTCTGCTTCTTTTGGAGACTATTTTGAATCTGTAACCTCGAGTCACCGACACACCCACCAGTGAAAACAGTTTTTCCCTTTCTACCCTATCATATCCCCTCATGATTTTGAAGACCTCTATTAGGTCTCCTCGTAACCTTCTCTGCTCCAATGAGAACAATCCCAGTCTCTCGTGCCTTTCCTCATAATCAAGGTCGCTCATTCCTGGTACCATCCTTGTAAATCTCCTCTGCACCCTTTCCAATGCTTTAACATCCTTCCTATAGTGTGGTGCCCAGAATTGGGTGCAGTATTCCAACTGAGGCCTAACCTGTGCTTTATATAGGTTAATCATAACCTCCTGACTCTTGTACTCTATGCCCCTGTTTATAAAGCCTAGTATCCCATATGCCCTTTTTACAGCTTTATCTACCTGTCCTGCCACCTTCAAGGATTCATTTACCTGCACCCCCAGGTCTCTCTGTTCTTTCACCCCCCTTAAGATTGTATCACCTAACCTATATTGCCTCCCCTCATTCTTTCTACCAAATTGCATTACCTCGCATTTCTCCACATTGAAAGGATTATGAAAGGATTAGAGTATAAGAGTAGGGAAGTCTTGCTGCAACTGTATAGGACCCTGGTGAGACCACACCTGGAATACTGTGTGCAGTTTTGTCTCCTTATTTAAGGAAGGATGTACTTGCCTTGGAGGGGGTGCAGCGTAGATTTACTAGGTTAGTACCAGGGATGAAGGGGATGAGTTACGAGGATAGGCTGACCAATTTGGGCCTATATTCTTTAGAATATAGAAGAATTAGAGGGGATCTTTTTAGAAACCTATAAGATCATCAAAGGGCATGATAGAGTAGATAGTGGGAGATTGTTTCCCCTGGTTGGAGAAACTAAAACCAGGAGTCACAACTTTAAAATCAGAGGCCAGCCCTTTCGCACTGAGTTGAGGAAGAACTTCTTCACTCAAAGGGTGGTGAACGTATGGAACTCTCTACCCCAAAGGGCTGTTGATGCTCAGTCCTTGAACATATTCAAGACTGAGATAGATATATTTCTTATTGCAAAAGGGATTAAGGGATATGGGGATAAGGCAGGGTTATGGTATCAACTGGAGTTAGATTAGAAGATCAGCCATGATTGAATGGCGGGGCAGGCTCGAAGGGCCGAATGGCCTACTCCTACATGTTATGTTATGTTGCCTTCGTTCCTCCGGGTCTGGCCTCCTCCTCGTCCCCCGAGTCCTCCGCTCCACCCTCGGTCGCCGTGCCTTCAGACACTATGCCCCAAGGCTCTGGAACTGCCTTTCTCACTCCCTTTGCCTCGCTCCCTCCCTTCCTATTTTCAGGTCTCTGCTGAAGACCTTTCTTTTCGGCCGCGTCTTTGGTCACTTTCCTCCCCCTCCCCCTGGCTCGGCCCCGGGATCCGTTACTGTGAAGTGCTCTGAGATGCCATCCGGTGTGGAGGGCGCGATATAAATCCAAGTTGTTGTTGCTGTTATTATTATGCTATATTCTTAGCTTTTCAAAGCATCTAGCATTGACAAATTGTTGAATGAAGTTCTCGAAAGAACTTACAAAAAACTGGCTTCAAAAATTAAGACTGAATTCATCAAATGGATTTTTGGAATGCCAAATCCCAATTTCGCTAGGATTTAGTTTTGTAACCTGCTTGAAATCATCTTTTAAACTACAATTTAATCCGTCACTAATAATAATTCTTACATATGGCCATAATCTGCCTTTGTAAAGAGCTCAACATGAAGAGTGCTGTATAAATGCAAGTTGTCGTTGTTGTACAGTGTTTATAAGTTATTTTTTATGACGAGAGCATTTTTACAGAGATTTAAAACACTTTATTTCACTGCTTCCAGAATCAAAGGAATTATCTGTGGTAACCTACCTTGCAACATGGCTAGGATAGCTTCTGCAGTAATTAACTCACCAAAAGTTAAAACTGACTTTAACGTCAAATATTTACATGAACAATTTGGTTGAAAAATATTGGCTCATGTCATAATTGTATTTACTTGTTAGATTAAATGTTTCTGCGTATCCAGTTCTTTCTTATATGATTCTATTGATCCTGGATAAAGCCATTTCACCCGCCTATGTCTCTCCTAAAGGCCAGATAGAGAAGCCTCAGCTGACTTTTTTTTACATAACAATAACTTGCATTTATATAGCGGTCTACACTCCAGATGGCGTCCAAGTGGTGGTTAACAATGGCGGAGCCCAATGCAATCTTAAAATGGGGAAAGAGGGGGCAAGGCGAAGGGACTGAGGGAGGGAGTTCCATAGTGCTGGGGGACACAGGGCAGGAGGATGAGGCTGCCAGGCAGATGTTTTCTATTTTGGAGGTAAGGAGATCCATGACCTCTTCACACTTGGCATTTGATGTAATGATTGAGGGTGCTAGAGGGGTGCACGGAGGACGTGGTGGGTGGAGTTTAGAGTTATTTTTGGCCTCCAGAATGATCTTTGAGTAATACACAGTTTTTGCTTGCGAGAGGGAGCGGCAGTAGGTGTGAAGGTGCTTGAGCCACAGATGGTGGTGAACTATGAGGCTGGTTTTTTGCCATTTGCTTCGAGTAACCAGGTTTGTGATTTTAGGGAATGAAGATGGCTGTTGTACCGGGGGAGCGGGAGCATTTGAAGACAGTCCTGGATTTCAGGGAGCCAAGGGAGTTCAAGGTGGAGGAGAGGCAATCATGGAGCAGCTTGATGGCTGCATCAGGATTGCTGCGGGTGGTAGGCCAGAGGAAGAGGAGGTCTGAGGATGGAAGGGCATTTGTGAGGGTCCCGGGGACTGTCTTTTCCATGGGTGGAAAAGGATGGTGGAGGGCTTGATGGAGGGAAAAGGGATGCAAGAAGAGAGGGAGACAAGGAAATGGGCTGAGAGGGCCTTGTTGGTGATTGATAGGCCAGAGATATCTAAGCTGTGGGTGATAACAAGGTCCAGGGGGTGGCCATGGTTATGGGTCAGGGAGTTCATATGGAGGATGAGATTTAGGGTGGAGAGGAGTGCAGTGAAGTCAAAGGAAGTGGGGCAGGAAGAGTTGAGATGAAGGCTGAAGTTGCCTGTGATGAGCATGCATTCAGTGCAGAGGGACAGGGATGAGAGGAGAGAGATGTCCATGAGGAAGGAGCCAGGAAGTTTTGGGAGGAGCAGTGCACAAGGAGGAATTTGAAGGAGAGAGGAGGGATGGTGGAGGTGCTCAAAAGAAGGGAAACAGCCAGAGGAATAGTGGGGTAGATTAAGAGAGATTTGGGAGATGAGGGCCACACGACTGCCGAGATGGTTGGGGTGGGGTGGGGGTGACGGAGTTGCCGGAGGGCGGCCAGGTTTCCATGAGCCCTACGATGTCAACTTGCTCATCTAGGATGGGGTGGTGGATGGTGAGGGCTTTGTTTGAGAGGGAGCGAAGTTTTGGAGGGTGATGCTGGTGGGGGCGCTGATGGGATTGGATGCTGGGGAGAGGGTGTTGCAGATTGTGGGGGGAGAGCAACTGTGGGATTTGAGGGGGGAGGAGAGTTGTGAAGGGTGGGAGTGAGGGAAGGGTTTGCCTTATAGGTGCGGGGGAGGGTTTTGCGTAATGAGTGGCTGCTCTGGGACAACCAACGATATGTGCCATGATAAGCTTTGAAATGGCATCCTGATGTGAAAGGCATGATAACAAATATAAGCATTATTATTATTTGTAGGAAAATAAAAGCAATATTTTCTTTTATTTCAGACACGTGTGAATGAGAACCATGAGAGGTGTCAGTGTGTGGACGCTGCTTGCTGCTGCATGTGTTTACCTGGACATTGCTCGCTCAGAGGCAGACACCTGTCAAAGATGTGACTCCAGCAACTTCTGTAACTGCTCTTCAATGAACTTAGTGACTATTCCACGTGTGTTGGAGAAAGTCTCAAGATTGAACCTCTCCTACAACTTCATAACGCACATCAAGGAAACTGATCTCACTAAGCATATTAAACTCAAAGTACTTATGCTACAATCAAATGAAATACAGTCTATTGATGACCAGGCATTTAAGAGCAACGTGGTCCTAGAATACCTTGATTTGTCCAATAACTCCTTGATCCAACTCTCACCAGCTTGGTTTCTGCATCTTTCCAAATTACAACACCTGGATCTTTCAGGGAATAAATACAGAAACCTGGGACCAGGCAGACTTTTCTCACATCTGGAAAGCCTCCGGTGGTTAAAAGTTGGAAACGCTTTCTTGTCTAATCTAAAGAAAGATGACTTTGAAGGAATTTCACATCTCGATGACTTTATTTTACTGGGAAACAAATTGGAATCATACGAGGACAGAAGTTTCAGTTCTTTCCAAAATGTAAGCCATGCCACTATGAATTTACATGACCCATTCCAAAAAAACCAGACCTTAGCTCAACGGATTATCTGGGATTTAGCACCAGCCACCACCCATGTTGAACTGAGAGACTTAGAATATCTGAGTTCCAGTGATACTCAATTATTTTCATTGCCAAATAATTCATCAGTGAAGAAATATACCTTCAGAAATAGTTCTCTGAGTGACAGTACAATATATGTTTTACTAAAAAATGGAAGAAACAGTGGAATATCTGAACTAGTTGCAGAAAATTGTGCATTTTCAGGAAGAGGAGAATGGCACAAAGTTAAAAATATGACATGTGAATCACTTATTTCACTGACAATCAGACATATATCCATAAAACAGTTTTATTTATTTTTTGATCTTTCGTTCCTTCATGGCTTGATATCCCATGTTAGAACAGCTAGGTTGACAAACTTGAACTTGTTCATGATGCCATGTGGTGTATCCAAAAGTTTTCAAAGATTGGAGTATCTTGATTTAAGGGAGAATTTGCTCACTGATTTAATGATGAAAGAAATGGTTTGTGAGAACTCCTGGTCTTCTCTGACGTACCTTATTCTGAGAAAGAATAAGTTGCATTCTCTCAAGAAAATTAGCCCGATTTTATCTAACATTACCCACCTGATGCACCTCGATTTAAGCCAGAATACATTAAGTGATGTTGATTTTTGTGTATGGTCAAAAACTCTTCAATTTCTAAACCTTTCAGGCAGTCAATTAAGTACTATATCACAGTGCATCCCTCCAAATATCGAGGTGTTGGATTTAAGCAACAATAACATAAGGACATTCACTACCCACCTTCCTTCTCTCAGAGAACTAAATGTGTCCAATAACAAGCTGATGTATTTACCAGGCGGTGGCTATCTACCAAACGTGAAGATTCTGATGATCAGTGGGAATAATCTCATCTCTATGTCCAGTGATGAAATCACGACATTCGATAAGTTGACAACATTGGATGCTGGAAAGAACCATTACATCTGTTCCTGTGAATTCTTGACCTATATAAACAAATACCTAACCCACTCAATACAACTGCTGAACTGGCCGGAAAACTACATTTGTGATTCACCTTTAGTTGTCAAGCGAATGATTGTGAAAAATACCAAGCGCTCTTTCTTTGACTGTCACACAACACTCTCTGTCACCTTGTCGTGTGTGGCTTTGTGTTTGCCAATAGCTATTGTGGGACTATTGTGCTACAAGTATCACGGGATCTGGTACATCCAAATGACCTGGGCGTGGCTCCAGGCAAAAAGGAAGCCAAAGAAAGTGAGGAATAATAATATTTTCTACGACGCATTTGTTTCTTACAGCGAGATGGATTCTGAGTGGGTGGAAAACTTCCTGCTGAGGGAATTAGAAAATACCCATCCACCACTGATACTCTGTCTTCATAAGCGCGATTTCATCCCAGGGAAGTGGATAATTGACAACATCATTGAGTCCATTGAGAAGAGCAGAAAGACCCTGTTTGTCTTGTCTCAACACTTTGTCCAAAGCGAGTGGTGCAAGTACGAGCTGGACTATTCTCATTTCCGTCTGTTTGATGAGAATAATGACACCGCCATTCTTGTTCTGTTGGAGCCAATCCCAAAGGAAACCATTCCTCAGCGATTCTGTAAGCTTAGGAAACTGATGAACACAAAAACCTATTTGGAATGGCCTGAGGATGAAGTAGAACAGCAAATCTTCTGGTTTAACTTAAAAGTAGCATTAAAAGGTGAGGAAAACATAAGAGGACATCAGTAAAAAAAAATCTTCAGTACTTCGGAGATGAGAAAAGACGTCTGGGTTTCAAATAATTTTGCAAGTGTGTCCATAGTGTTTGGAAATAGGAACTGGAGTGAATTTAAATGAATGTTGCATGAGGTACACCTCTATCACACATTGTTATAAACTCACCTGAGTTCCTAATATTCAGTCCCGTGGATTGGTATTAATGATAAGAAGGCATGAAACAAGAAATAACTATTTGAACCTTTAGGACCGCTGCCTCCTGAGACCAGGAACAACATCTCATCACTCTCTCTACCTGTTTCATCTGTTTATGGTCAATTCTGCAATAAACCTCCAATCAAGTGAGAATCCAGAATGTCTGCTCATCTTTACATTTCCACATTTCCACTTAATGTAGTCCATACACCACTGCTCCCTGGCTTGATGACTTCAGTCTTACTTGACTCTATAATCTAAAATCATGTAACAAGATAGATGTTTACCCACATCCAATTTTCATTGCTGACCACAAATGGCAAAGATGCATGAAAAAGCTCACAGAACACATGGAATCGTTAAAAAACTGTAGGCTCCACTTGTAATTATTGTGCCTTCAGTAATCTGCAAACGCCTATATCTACCCAATGGTATTTGACATTCTCCAGAGAAAACCTATCACTTTCTCTTTACTCTGAACTATTAAATGTATGCAGGTGCTTATCTAATGCAAGAAAAAGTGCACAGAATCTGAAATTTAGGAACTTGGACACAGGAAGGCAGAACTGTTTGACACAAAGTGCTAAGTATTTGCATAATAAATTTGCGCGCTAAGTCAGATGGACAATCTGCTTTTCTTGCTAACTTTTAAACCGGTTGACCACGATGTCACTGCAAAAATGCAATCTCTTCAAATTTCAAGCAACTAACAAATGTATATATATCTCCACATTAAAAAAATATGTTTTACATAGAGAAATGAGTTACTTATTTCAGTACAAAGCAGTATATTTGGTTTTCGTCTTACGAGCTGGAATTGTCCAATCTGCGGTCTGCAGGGTTCTGTCTGACAGATGGTTATCAAAATTCTGAGGGGTTTTAATAGTCAATGGGGAGAAATTATTCTCACTGGTTGGTTAATCAGTGGCCACAGGGCATCAATTCGAGTTTGTTACCAAAGAGCAAATGGAGAGGTTAGGTGAATTTTATTTGTACGCAGAGCAGTTAGGATATGGCTGGAGTGGAGCACTATTTGGAGCAGAATCCATATTAGCTTCAAAGGGAAGTAGGTAAATATCTAAGAAGAAGCAAACTACAGGGATATGAGGAAAGGGCAGGTAAATGGGACTGAAATAGTCAGCACAGACATGATGGGCTGAATGGCTCTCCCGCGTGCTGTAAATTTCTATGTAAATTTCATTGCTGTGCGCAATTGACTGGCAATTTGCCCACAAAATACACAGTAAATCCATTATTAAGGTTAAGCTTGAGCATATAAAATACATATTAGGTGGACCTAGTTTGTCAAGTTGCTTTGAAATTACCTTTAAATTAATTGTTGATGCAAGATACTGCACGGAATAAACAAATTCTAAATTGCACTGAATGATTCAGCGAACAAGTTTTCCAGTGCGAAAGTATTGATCTCCTTGGTGGTCTTACTGACTCGTGATTAATATTTAAAATGTCATCATATAATACGTAATATAACATTAATATAACATCTGCATAACTTTACAGAACAGATGTTTGAATCGTTAATAAAGACTTGGGTCGCTCAATTGTTTTGTGTTAAATCTGTACATACTCAAACCTCAGGTATTCACTGAAGTAACTTCCAAAGAAAAGTTCTGTTTCTGTTTAAGTCTCATTTTGTGTGAAAGGAATGTCTGTCTGCGCATTCAGGTCAGAAACAGTTTGAAGTCTTTCACATAATTAAGTTATATTTCGAAATCTATCAAAGATCAGGTCAATAACGAATCCTTTAAACATTTGCCATCAGAGAACAACTACTCCCATGTGTTTTACTTTAAAATTTGTCATTGTACTTTCTGGCAACATAAACCAAAGATGTTACCAATCTTCGTGCTACATCAGCAGAAGTCACATATAAAAACACTTTGAAAGGTCAAATGGGTGGTATTTTAGTTTAAAAGATGATTTTAGCATGGATTGTGCAAACTTTTGATGTTATTCAGAACAATACTTTTAGATACACCAAGATAGTACAAGACAACCTAATTTTGAGTTGCAAAGGGCAGGTTCACGACACACTAGGAAGTATTTCATTACTTAAAAGGTAATTAATGACTGGAACAGATTGCCATTTAAGTGGTTTTGGCCAGTTCACTGGACTTACTTAAAAAGCAGCTTGATGCTGCGATGGGAAAATGGTGTATTCTGAATATTCTGAAAGGATGAGAAGGGACCATTGCAAACTAATCTTCTGATTTGTAAGCTTGTATCTTTGTGCCTCCAGGAACACTGCACTTGACAGACTGCCTGTCAACTGTTAAATCTTGGCTGAGCCTTAGGTTAATAGTATTGATAGTAGATGTAAAGCAAATACTGAGCCAGAAAGTAAAGGAATTAAGGTGTCGGCAAAGATAGGCAGTCGTCAGAGTGATTTGAGTGTAGATTCAGATGTCTCGCAGTCTCAAACTAACTCTCAAGTAACAAGAATAAGTATAAGAATACATTGAGCCATCAAACGCACTCCTTCCACAGGCTGTAAACATTACTGCACCTACTTGTCTCCGTCAGAATTGCAGCTCGATTGCCAACAGTCCCACCCCAAGGAGCATCATTACCTTCAGTCCCAATTCTAAGCAAAACATCAAAGTCCTTTTTGAAGGAATTAATTAACAGTGCAGTCTTTTCTTACTTGAGGAAAAAAGAGAATTCAAATCCCTTTATAATAGTTTTATTTTAAAATCTGCCTAATGGTTTGGCGGTGGTGACATCATGAGCAGGGAACCTGCAAACTGGTTTGAGTGGAGACTGATGTCTGTTAGAAGTTGCCTTTACTGTTTGCATGGTATTGTTTCAGTCACTTACACCTAACAGGTAGCAGGAACTGTTAAAGGATGTTGTTGTCTGAAGGAGGCCTGATTTACATGAAAACTTATCGACTGTATGAATGTGTATTTTGTGAATGTCACAGTACACTAACTAGGGGATAAAACACAAGGTGTTTGAGCAGGCAGCAGAGTTGTACCTTGTGGGGGGCGGGGGGGGGGGGGGGGGTACTTATAACAAGCAAGTGGGTCAGCTTGCTTCTCTGCTCAAACCGTAAATGGCAGCATTATGACTCTGACTTAAGGCTTTGGAGTGTTGTCAAAAATATATGCTTGTTTCCATTAAGTAGTTTAAAGTTATTTCGAGAAGTGCGCATTTTAAATTTAATATAACCAGGATACTGGCTTAATCCTCCTGACTCGAGAAGCCCCGACTCTAATCACTGAAGCTTGGGTATAAAATTTCAAGCTCCGTGACAATGGCATGGCTCCATTCTTTATTAAAGGCTATTTACAGAACCTGCATTTGGAACTAAAAAAGTACTTTGTAAGTATAAAGTACAGTAAATGTATCTGGCAAAATAGTCTCAATTATGTGATAAGGTGCTATATCAAATGCAAGGATAATCATTATTATTACTGCCAGTGGTGGATAAAATAACGCTTTACAGCTTTTTAATTCAAAGACTAATTGAGCTACTTGCAGCCATTAATAAGATGGAGGGAAATACGTGTTTAGATAAATACAATGAATGCAAAAATATTATAAAAACAATATTTAATATCTAAATAGTAATTATAGATGGGTAAAAAGCCAAATCAGCACTGAAAGAATCATGTAATTCCGAATTTATGGATTATTTGCTACCAGTCTCGCTTCTAATAGAACTAAACCTGAAATGGAAAATCACAGACAAGGGGTGAAAATAGTAATCACATTTTATTTAAGTGGTTACAGTATGTATGCTTAAGATGAAATAGAAAAACCAGAAAGAAAATCACTGCAGAATATATGAATTTGGATGTTGTGGATATACAACATACTCAGTATTCTAATACTGCTTACAAATATGACAACCTAAAAATAATAATAAATTAACGTTGTGCATTATGCATTCTAGCATAAATTCTTAACACATTCGCTGTAAACAGTACAGAACCTGAAAGTTGGACGATTTCAACTTTTTTTAATAAGTTATGCATTTATACATTTTACAGTCAAGTTTGGCTTTAACATACTCACAATGGATGAATCAGAATTATAGCCAACAATGCATCATAAGTACAGAAAGGTAAACACGTCTGCCTTTGTCAACTCTGTTGCTGGGTGCTGATGTGAAAGGCATTATACAAATGTAATTTTTTTGTTGTTGCTGCATTCTCCTCTAATGATATAACATGGGACTTGTTCCACAAAACCCAGTGTCACTGCACAATCATTTTTTAAAAAATATTTTTTCAAATACTGCAGTTTAATATGTGACAACACAGACACAGTAAAAAGTGATTAATTTACAATCATGTTTCAGCTACCTAATACTAATTGCCATATTTTTAGAGTAAAGAGCTCATTTTGTTTATACAATATTAAGTACAGAATATACAGAAATTGTCTCTTTCCATTTATGACATATTGCTCAATTATACATTCAAATAATTTCTATGATTTACTCTAAACCCAATATGTAGTTAATGCCCTGAACCAGACCTATAATTACAGGCTGCCAGGCAACCAGGTATCGTAGCCAATCCAACAACTGGCCATACAAAACATGTGTGCGCTCCCATCTGTGAAGAAGTTAAGTAAAATACAGATTTGGAGTTTAATACAATTTTCTTTCAGTATATGAAAATAGAATTGTAAACTTGAGAAAGGAACAACACTGAAAGCAGAGCAATATCTCTGGAATTTCAATGTGTAGACGCGATGCATGGAATTCTCAGTTTGGTTTGGATACGCTTAAGCATGGTGATGGGTTTCCGCATGTGTCAGACACCCAGCCGACCAAAAAAAACCAATACATTTGCAAGAATGCATCATTCAATTGCAGTATTTAGCACTAAAAAAAATTCCTTTAAAAGAGGACAAAAAGTGGTACAACTCATACCTAATGTATACTGAGATTGATGATTAATTGCTCAAAAAACCCAATTTTAGACTGCATTCTTAGCATTAACCCAACACAAAATTATAATTGAATCTACAATAATTTATGCAGTTTAAAATAGGACACAAACTGTGGAACAAATATTTGAAAGTTGAATATTTTTCATCTGACATTGTAGAAATGTGGATTCCAGCACAATTCTAATCCAAACATAACATTTCTTGTCAAACTATATGTGCTTTTATCAGGTTTCAGCTGCACAGCACATTATAAAACAAGCTTTGCAGGGCATTAGAGATGATGTGCACCATCATTATGCCATGCAAAGAAAAAAAACACGTTAGTACATGACCAAATGCTGCTATTGTTTTGAAAAGAAAAACAAATTACTGTATTCCTAAATTTGCAGAATTTTGCAAATGTCATCTTAAGCACATTTAAAATCAGAACTCTGTTGACAGTCTCGAGTGAAAGGAATTCAATTTAAATTCTATTTGCGAACAAAACGTAAGATGAAATTTTTGTAGCATTAAAATAAGCTTGATAATCAAGTCGGCTGTACATAGTGAGAATTGTATTCCAATTATGTGCCTGAACCTGGAATTCTATAATTGCAAACTTTTACTGTTTAGCAACTCCTGTACCTAGAAACCTGCAGCTAATTTAGTTACAGAATGCATGATAAAATTTGAGAAGTGTTGTGATGTTTATCTCTGTGATATACTGCAATCTGGTATATAAGACTCTTGCAGATATCAGAGTGTATAGCAGAGCATTTAAGACACCTAATGCCCTATATATACTGCTGATCACTTCCAGTACCATTTGAAAACATTTTCAACTTCCAGAAAAATGAACATTAAAGGATACGGGTTACTGAGCATTCTCTTGAGGTCCACCTTCTCATTGCAGTACGGACAGGTCTGCTTTTTACCTACGATGCACCAGCCTCGAATGCAGAATTCATGAAATCTGCGCGGATCACGTTAAGGATATGATGCTCGTCTAGGGCAGTAACACAAGCGTTAAATAACTGTTTGCATTTATTCACTGGGTTGTTTGCAGTATAGCAGGAATGTAACAAGACAATGTTGAAAACAGCGTTAAAAACAGATGCTAAGAGGCAAAATTCTCACATTTTCATTATAAAATATAATATTCCACAATCTAATAATAAATACTTGCAATTACATATTACATTGTTCACTGTAACATAATGAATGTAGACAGGGAAAAGAAGCAGAATGGATAGCAAGCTGGCTACAAGACAGAAAACAGAGAGTAGGGATAAAAGGTAGCTTCTCAGACTGGCAGAGGGTGGGAAGTGGTTCTTCACAAGGATCGGTATTGGGATAACTGTTGTTCACAATTTACATTAATGATTTGGACTCGGGGATTGAAAGTACAATTTCAAAATTTGCGGACGACACCAATTGGGGAGTGTAGTTAATTCTGAGGTGCACTGCAACAAATTACAAAAAGACATTAATAAACTTGCTGAATGGGCATTTAATTGGCAAATAAATTTCAATTTAGATAAGTGTGAGGTGGTACATTTTGGTCGGAGAAATAAGGAGGTCACATACTGCCTGGAAAATAAGAATCTAAATGGGGTAGAGGAGCAAAGGGATCTAGGGGTACAGGTGCACAAATCGCTAAAAGTAGCGACACAGGTTAATAAGGCCATAAAGAAGCAAACCATTTCTAGAGGGATCTTTGCTTCCTGCAAAGCTTGAAATGAAGAACAGGGAAGTTATGCTAAACTTATATCGAACCTTGGTTAGACCACACTTGGTGTACTGTGTACAGTTCTGGTCCCCATATTATAGAAAGGATTTTGAGGCACTGGAGAAGGTGCAAAGGAAATTTACAAGGATGATACCAGTACTGCGATCAGGAAAGGTTGAACAAGCTTGAGCTCTTTTCTCTTGAAAAGAGGAGGGTAAAGGGTGACCCAATAGAGGTCTTTAAAATTATGAAAGGTTTTGATAGGGTAGACATAGGGAAGATGTTTCCACTTGTGGGGGAGACCAAAACCAAGGCCATAAATATAAAATAGTCACCAATACAACAAAAAATTTACATTTATAGAGCGCCTTTCACGTCGGGAGGACGTCCCAAAGCAGTGAACGGCACAAGCATGGGGGAGGGGTGGTTTAGGGAAGAGGGAAGGCAGAGAGGTGAGAGGGTGACCAAAGGCACGATCGAAGAGAAGGATCTTGAGACCGGCCTTGAGGGAGGCAAGGGAGGAAGCGAGGCGAAGGGACCGTGGGATGGAGTTCCAGAGTGTGGGGCAGAGAGGCTGAAAGCCCGGCCACCAATGGTAGAGCGGGTCGGACAGGAGACATGGAGTAGGCCGGAGCCTGATGAACGGAGGGAGTGGGCAGGTTGGTAGGAAGTCAGCAGGTCAGAAAGGTAGGAGGGGGCAAGGCCATGGATGGCCTTAAATGTGAGGACGAAGATCTTGAACTCGATCCTCTGGGGGATGGGGAGCCAGTGGAGTCGGGTGAGAGTGGGAGTGATGGAGTCACGGAGCCTGATGTGCGAGAGTACACGAGCTGTGGTGTTTTGGATGATCTGCAGCTTGTGAAGGGAAGAGTTGGGAAGGCCGATGAGGAGAGAGTTCCCGTAATTGAGCCTTGATGTGACAAATGCGTAGGTGAGGGTTTCAGCAGCCTGAGGGGTGAGGCAGTGGCGGAGTCTGGCAATATTGCAGAGGTGGTGGAAGGCACTGCTGGTCATGGCGCAGATGTGGGGGAGAAAGGACAGTTCAGGGTTAAACAAGACACCCGGGTTCGTGACTGGCTTAGTGAGGTCAAATAGGGAATAAGTCAAACAGGGAAGTCAGAAGAAACTTTTTTACCTAGAGAGTGGTGGGAATGCAAAACTTGCTGCCGCAAGGAGTGGTTGAGGCGAATGACATAGATGCATGTAAGGGAAAGCCAGATAAGTACGAGGGAGACAGGAACAGAAGGTTATGCTGATAGGCTTAATTGAGGAAGAACAGGAGGCTCATGTGGAGCATAAACCGGCCTTGAAGGAGGCAAGGGAGGAAGTGAGGCGAAGGGACCGTGGGAAGGAGTTCCAGAGTGTGGGGGCAGAGAGGCCAAAAGCCCAGCCACCGATGGTAGGGCGGGTCGGGCGGGAGACATGGAGCAGGCTGGAGCCCGCTGAACGGAGGGAGCGGGCAGGTTGGTAGGGAGTCAGCAGGTCAGAAAGGTAGGATGGCCTTAAAAATATAGACCAGTTGGACTGAATGGCCTGTTTCTGGACTGTATATTCTATGTAATTAAATGTAGTCTCCATCTACTTCACACAACCGGTTATTTTTAAGGCAAATGAGGGAGCTATTTTGCACCAACGTCCCACAAATTGAAATGAATGACCATTTAATTTGTATGAATGAATTTGGATGAGATTAGACTGAACTTTTTAAAATGTCCAACAGAACTGCAGATAGGACTTCCTAGCTATTTGTTTCAACCTCCAACAATGCGGAGTTCTCTCAGTACTGCACTGATAGACAGGCCAGATATGGGCTCAAATGTTTTTGCTGTGGGGGAAAAGTTGAACACCGAACCTTTTGACCCAATGAAAAGAGCTACAACTGAGCCAAACTGATGCAATAAAGTCCATTACTACTTCAAAAGGTGTAAAGTTGTATTTATATAATTATATACAAACATTGTTCAGTTGACAACCAGAACATGATGCTGAATTATGTATGTATTTTCTGAAATAAATTTTTATAGTGGAGTCATTCTGAACGGTGCAGTATTTTTTGGCCTACAAAATGAGCTATTTGCACAATTATGATAACTTCATAGCATATCAATGTGGAATTTTATCAAAGTACCAAATATTACTAGATGTTGAAGATTGTACCAAACTAACGCTCTTAAAACCCACAGCTTCCCTGTCATTCGTGCTTGAGTAAGGGAATATTTCACCATTGCTCAGCCAGCTATTAGATACACCAAGTGACAGCAGGTTAGGATTCTGTTTGGAAGGATGAGTCAGAAAAAGAAATATGCAGAACTGTTCAAAATGAACACTGCACAATTTCCATTTGTGTTGGAAAGTACCAAGTTAAATTTACTTGAATGATATTTCACAACTTAAAACTCGTGCATTAATTGAGGACAATAATGGCAATTGTACAGCAAAATGACTGAAGCTTCTATACTCATAGCATTTTACAGCTCTTTGGGAGAATACATGTAACAAAAATGTTGGCCTTAAAACAATTGTGTTACACTCTACAATTGACAAAATCTGTGAAAGTTGGAATGATTATGAAGTGCTCATGAAATTTATGTCCCCCAAGAGATAATCAGGAGTGGGTAATTCTACAGCACCACCACTGTGAACTGTCCAGTACTACAACAGTTTGCAAAGTGCAAATAAAGCCTGGTTTATCCCTTCAGAAGTGATGCCTCATTTCTCGAGTGGAACGATGTGGGGCGTGAAGCCTGATTTATTATCCCGCTTCCCTCTCTCTAACCAGTCAGGCTATAATGTTTAATGTTTCAAGAGACTTTTTAAAACTTTGCGACCATGTACCTCAAACACAATTCGCCACGATTTTCACAGTGCAGTATAAACTAGCGTAGAATAAACGAGGTAATAAAAATGATTTAGTATAAGTGTTGTATAAACTAGGTAATAAAAGTTATGGTCACAAAACTTGAACCTTAGAATGCAATGGTGATAAAAATTAATCAAGGGGTCAGCAACAAACCCAAAGCAGAACTGAAAGGATACAAATGATTACAGGAGAGTTGGTAGGTATCTTCTATAATTCCTTCTTCATCAACGTCCACAAATATTTTTTGACCGCATACTGCACAGATGTCACAGGAAAGATTTCTGGAAGGCATACTACCAAAATTATAGAACTGTGAAAAGAAGTACGCAAAAAAATTAGTGATTTGTTGATGAAAGTATGGGCTTTGTTTCAGACAAAATAAACGTTGTTTAGTGTACAAACATTACTTACTCCAATAGTGGACGCCATGTAGTCAGAACAAATCTCTGCAAAGTCTCTTCCCATAACCCCATAGTACAAGCCATAGAAAAGCAAAATTACACCAAAATCCATCGAATCTTCTGTCTTTATTCTGGATTAAGGAAAAGGTCATTTCAGATTAGTTAAAAATGGTCAATTTCACACAGTCAGGTCGAACAGCCAGTTTATAAAACAAGATTGGAATTTAGAGTGTGAATTATAATGTTGCTCTAAATCTCTTTATCACTGCGCAATAAACAGCTTAAATTTGGTCCCTGGCATACATTCAATACATCTTTTGAAACTGTCATGATGGAGCATCATTGCAGCTGTAATTGCTAAGATTATTTGATGTTATTTAATGCTTCTTACAGATCTATAGAACAAACTATTCATTCTGAAGTTTAAACATGGAAAGTGTACTTGGTACATGGAGTTTAATATTACTTTTGTGGGCCACAAACACACAAAACAGAGAATTAACTATAAACCACATCAAAAAAGTATCTGCTACAAGTATATCGCATTGTAATGCGTGTGAAAATAAATGTTAAAAAGTGTTACAATCTGTAACAAGTTTGGGCATTGAGATTTATTCAAAATAAGCCCCAATAAGTGAATGTGGTTAAATTCTGTGGTTGAAACAATATAAACAAAGTTCACTCACTATCAAAGAGCAAGTTAAACATTGAGTCAACATGTAATCTGCAAAAATATCATACCTGAAGAACAAATTGAAGCCAAACATTGTAAACATTACTGCTAGATATCCGATGATGCCTACTGCATAACTTAGTTTGTAGATAAGAAGGAACCATTTGTAGACCATTCTGAAGATTTAATTAAAATGAAATATTTAGTATACATGCATATCGCAATGAAAAAGAAGCATTAATATTGCAATGGTTTAACACAGTTTCAGCCCGTGAAGACTTGTAAATGGTTAGAACCCACACAATGTTGTAATAATCTTGAGGCAATTACAGAATCTAGTCTATGAAGTTAGGAACAGTGGTATGCAACAAGTGGTAATTTGGTCAATGGTAACACAAACCAGATGTGTGCCAATACTATAATTTTTTTCTCCATCTCTCCAAATTCATCCAGCAGTGCTGATCCAGTGATTCCCCACTCAAGTTGCTTATTGTTCATGTCTGGACCAAAAATATTCACAAGCAACCATGTTGAGGGGGAAAGATAATGCACAATCTTATTTCAATCAATCCATCATATACATACATGCACTTTTTGCAGGGATCACTAGAGAGCATAAGCAGGGACACTGGATTACTTCTGTCCTCACCAGCTATTGCTGTTTAAGTTGCTCAAACAATGGTTCTGCTTTAGATCAGCAAACAGACTAGTAATTGATCCTGAGATTTTATGATCTTTATGCTCAGTAGCACACACTGCAATGCCTTACCAATTGAACTATAAAGGAGATTATGGTTGTTGATGTGGTCTTCTTACATTAGTGCAGCTATTGAAATATGTCTAGCATTTCAAGTATTATATACATGAAAAACGTGCAATTTAAAATAAAATGGAAAATAACACAAATCCAAATTAAAAGGGAGATCATTTCTGGCTTCTTGATTTAGTGAAGCACTTTTTTAAAAAAAAATTGTGTCATTGGACAAATGGGATATACAGACTCTTTGAGAGGGCTATTTCAAAATCAACGGTCAAAGTCCAATGAAATAAAATAATAATCCTTGCATTTGATTCATTTGAAACATAGGATTCCTGAATCAAGATCTTTTGAATAACCAAGGTTATAGGCAAGTTGTCTGATAAAACAAGGGTTGTAATTGTAAGTGTCAAGTATCCTATTTATGTGTGCTGATTCACTACATCTCTGACACTAGAACTCTTCACTCCTCCTTCTCATATTATTTTATCTTTCAGGATTCATTACAGTTTACTGAATAATCTTGCATTAATGAATGCACAAGTTAAACCATGATCCTTATGCAATTTGCTGGACAGTGCACTTTCTGAATGTTTTTTTGCAAGTGACAGAAAAACCTTCTTAAAAAATTTAACAAGTTAGCAACCATATAGTCTGGCGAAGAAGCTTATAGAAAATTATACAATTGCACACTCAACGGAAGTCAGAAACCAGGGCAGAGATTACTGATACAGAATAATAAAACTGTTTCAAATCCACTAATTATAAAATGATTTGTTATCTTGCCATCTTGTTGCATCTTCCTGTCACATTAAATAATTTAGATTTTTACTTAAGAGGGTTCTAAATTTCCAAAGTTACATCAGATCCTTGGTTTAGTAGAACATAAGTGAATATACATTAGGAAGAATTTTGACAAAATGTATGAAATAACTGGTTATGTTTTATGCCTCAACTAGATTAATACAATTTACACTTATAAAGCACCTTTCAGGATGGGAGGATTAAGCAAACAAGCTTCCATAACAGGGACTGTTCTATCTCATTAGCATAAACTGTGAAACTGTGATCACACTAAAGTTATAATAACAATCCTTGCATTTGATACAGCATACGTACATCCAAAAAGACGTCTCAAAGAGCTTCACAGGATTTTACTGTAAAGTGTACTGTTTGTGTATTTGTAGGCAAACGCAGCAGCCAATTTTTGCACAGCAATGTCCCACAAACAACCATGACCAATTTTTAATCTGGGAGATTGTTGATCAGGACACTGGGAGGAGGAGGAACTCCCTTCTCTTTTCAAGTAGTGCCAAAGTGCTTGAGATATCCTTTGATGTGAAAGGCGCTGTATAAATTGTATTGTATGGAATCTTTATTGTGCACTTGCACAGGCAGCTGGGATCCTCGGTTTAATGTCTCATCTGAAGGATACCATCCCAGACAATGCAGTGCTCCCTTAACACTGCCTGTAGCATGTAAGTTCAAAGTCCCTACATGGGGCTTGAACCCACACCTTCTGACTCACAGGAAAGAGTACTACCAACTGAGCATGGTTCTATGGATATGACAATGTAAGTAGGCAGAGAATGAAAGAAGCCGCCTAGAAAATGTTTATGCCCATGCGTGGGGGGAACAGATCCAGTTGAAGTGGCATATTTGATGTTACTTTCACACAGAAACAAGTGGTACATTGTAATATTAATAATTCTTACATTTGATATAACGCCTTATTACATAATCGAGGCATCGCAAAGCACTTCACAGGAAATACTGTAAAACGGTTTGACTGTGTATTTCATGGGCGAAAAGCGGCTGCCTATTGCGAATAGCAATGTGCCATAAACAGCATCGAGTGAGTGACCAATTTTATTTGGGGGATTTGTTGGCCAGGACACCAGGAGAAATTCCCTTCTCTTTTCAAATACTGCTGTGGAATCTTTAACGTACAGAGCAAACCAACTACGGTACTGTGAAAAGTAAAACATAAATGTGAGATTATTCAATGATGGATTAAAAAATTCATTGAATGTGTAGTAAAATGGTACGAGTCCATTATTTATAAAATTATTTATCTTTTCTGTTGTAATTCATATCCGAAGAGCGCAACATGTCTTCTCCATGGTATATTAGTCATAAAACAATCAAAATTAACAAGGCAAATACAAAAAAAGGTGGGAATATGGATATTCATTTTATTCCTGAAAAATACATACCGTGGTGTTCTTCCAGAGAGGGGTTTACGGGTAGCTCTGAAGATGATATAACTGGTAATAACAGAGAACATCCCCCATGTGGAGAGAAAGCGCCACCAGTAAAGTTTTACTGTGAAATATAAAGGAACAATCCACATCTGGAGCAGGGTGACCAGCTGTTGACGAAAATGCACAAGCCCGCTATGAACCTTTAGAAGCCTACAGCAGAATTTCTACAAAATTTACCCGCATAGCATAGAACAATAAATACCCAGTTTTTAATAACGCTGCATAGGTTTATTCTATCATTTTTATGTATTGTGGCTTGAGATAACATTTAAAAATGAATGCTAATTGTTTTTAAAAGGTCAAGATTCTTAAAAATACAATCCATTTATTTAAATGTGAATACACACAATTAATTTACTGGATTAACATCACATAAGCACTGTATAAATACAAACTTTAACTACAAAGAAAAAGTTAAATTTGCTGCATTTGCTTTTAATCATTTTACTACAATTGAATCAAATTTTGAAGAACTCAGAAAAACACATTATCACCACAGAAACTATTAATATTACTATTCTAAAGATTGCTCTTTGGAATCTTGTCCATTCAATGAAGGCATCCAATAAATCAAAAATTATTTACTAACCACTGAGAAAATAGAACTCACTGAGTACTTTGAATTTAAATGTTTTGCCTGGGTCAGAAGAAGGATACCATTTTAACACATTGTCAGTTTACTTCCTGATCAGGTTCACTTGGACAAGTATTGTACATGTTTTGTACAGAGTTAATTGTGGCCTATAGTCTGATGTGGCTTCTGATATGAAAACATTTAACATTTATAGTGTCCCCTGATAAAAACAGTAGTTTGTCTGGTAATTACTTTCAATCCACGAAAGTGGGGAATGTGCTAAAAATATTACCACAACTTTATTTCAACTATTTTAAGAGAAGCAATGTAGTGATTTTGAGAATTCTCGTAAACAAAATATGCTGCAGAGGAATGGTTATAAATGTTTCTGGAGCAATTGCTGAGCCGAATGTCGTGGTGCACTGTGCAAAATTCAGTAGTCCACTGATACACCAGGACATAGTTTAGCATCTGTACTCTGTTAATACCACTGGTGCTGGTACAGTCGACATCTGGATATAGAAAAACACATCATCTACTTTATTGTTTAATGGCACCATTAGCATCTGGATTATATTAGCACAAACTTTACTTATCCATACATCATATCCCATGGAATTTCCTGACAAATCAGACTGCTGCCCAAAGGCTAAATGTTTTTCTCATTAAAAAGGCTTAAATGAGCTAAGCAGGACCTAGACCTCAAGTAAATCCTAAAGTGGGGGTCTAAATAATTAGAAGGCAGCGGGACATTTAATTTATCACTAACGATTTTTGGTATTGCTTGTCTTGGCAAAGGACATTCATAACGTTGACCTAACGTACAGTATAACGTACAGACACAACTAACAAATACTATTCACCTTTTTCTTTTAATAGTTTCAGGTTAACCTTCACTCTAAACAGGCATATGTGAAATGTTCTGATACAAACTACGGGTTAAACAAGGGGAAATGGAGCCTTACTACCAATCATATTCTCATTTTGCACCAATATATTTCAAATTAGGTAACAAGGGTTCATCAAATGCTATACAATTATAACGTTAATATTTTCCAAATTTTCTCTGACCCTTTAAATTAAGTTTTTTTCTTGTCTTAACAGTTGTACAATTCAAATCAAGCAACACTCAAGTTTATTTTACAATTTACAGTGCCCGAGAGCAAAGTCTGCACTCTACCAAGTCGCACACAGTTTGCCTCTGGCCACACAATTTTACTACCGAACAACTTTGCAATAATTCTTATGTTAAATGACAGCAATTATTGCTATCCAGAAAGACCAAAAACAAGATAGTGTTTCTCCCAATTAATGAAAGTTATTAAAAATGGGGCAATATATGAAAACCATTATGCCACACTAGCACATACTGAATCTTTGACAAAATATACTGCCCAATAACAGCTGCCATCTTGGATTCATTATAGTGGAACTGAAATCCGAGCAGCCAAACAGCACATAAATTAAAATGCATATTTCACACCATTGTTACAGCTTTCAAATCTAGTGGCAGCTGCACAAAACTTGAATCTCAAAAATGCTGCTTACTAAGGCGCAATTTTATTAAAAGCCACTGGTGCTGACAACTATAGAGAAAAGCAGATAATTGGGAATAAACTGAGTTCAGAATGCAAACAAGTTCGAATCTAAAATGGGGAGAGACCCTATTTGACCCAATACTCTTGTGCTAGTTCCTCAATGGAACCATGTACTCAAATCCCATACCCCTTTAATATTACATCTACTCAAGTGATTATCCAATTTCCTTTCAAATTCTATTATGAACACAGCTTTAACATTTTAGTTATTTATCCCCAAATCCTTAGCTATCTTTTGTGTAACTTAAAAGGACACACACCATTTAGTTTTCTTCCTCCATTCCTTGTTAACCAGTTTGGCCTTGGCAATAGTGTTTTACGGACTTCATAATGTTTCAATTGAAAGTACACACCATGAGGCGGAGGTCTTCCCTGCTGATTGTTTTTCTTTGCCTCACAGGCAGGCAGAGAGCGAAATCCATCACATTGGCCGTGTTAGCCCCACAGCAGACATAGTGAAAGCCATACGCTACCCAAAAGCCACACAAGACTATCGTCAAAAGAAAGTTCCAAACTTGAACTTGGGTTTTATACAAACAGCAGATGAAATGATGAAAAAAAGCAAAGAAAGACAGAATTTTTTTTAAAAGCATCAATTTTAAATAAAGTGAAAGTTTCGCATGAACTCTGGGTTATTTACTGCTTTCCATAATGCAAGCAGTATTATCATTACATATAAGGTCAAAAATATAATGGTCTCAATGTACTGTCTGAATTGGAATTCTATTTTCAAAAACTAGCTGCCTAAGGAGGGCACATTCAAACTCTAGTAAGCTTTTAGGTAAAAGAGTCCTTGCATACATACATTTATTGACTCATTAGCATAGATTATTTGGAAAGACATTAGTATTATGGGAAAAAGATTCCAAAGCAAAAAGTTTCTTCATAATTCACAATTCCTGCTATAACAGTGATTATTTCTGCAATTTAAAGAATGTTTTTTACTTGTTAGTAAAGTACTGGCTCCCCATCCCCCAGAGGATTGATTTCAAGATCCTCATCCTCACCTACAAGGCCATTCACGGCCTCGCTCCCTCCTACCTCTCCAACCTACTATCCCCCTACCTACCTGCCCGTACCCTCCGTTCCTCTGGCTCCGGTCTGCTCCACGTCCCCCGCCCCAACCGCCCTACTATCGGTGGTCGGGCCTTCAGCCTCTCAGCCCCGAGGCTCTGGAACTCTATCCCCCAGTGCCTTCGCCACCTCCTCCCTTTCCTCCTTCAAGGCCGGTCTCAAAACCTTTCTCTTTGACCGTGCCTTCAGCTCCCCTCTCGACTCTCTTCCTCCTCCTCGCTCCCTCCCTTCCCTCCCCTCACCCTGACCATTTCCCCCTCCTCTCTCCCTTCCTTCCCTTCCCTCACCCTGACCATTTCCCCCTGCTCGGGTCATGACCCAACTCTGCAGCGCCTTGGGACGTCCTCCTGACGTGAAAGGCGCTCTATAAATGGAATCTTGTTGTTGTTGTTGTTGTTGTTTCCCTCATAGTTACAGTGGTTTGATCATAAGATAACATAAAAATGCCCCCCATTAGATTTTGGACAACTTATTCAGATTCATAAGTTAAAATTATTAAGCAAAGCTACATTTTTAATTATACGTGCATTACGGTAGGTATACTTTGGGTTTTAATTCTATTTGCCGTGATTAAGGTGAGGGAAATATCACTTTTTCGCTTTAAAGACCCAACATTAGCCCTCAGTGCTGCCACAAGGTATAAATGTATAATAATAAATCTCACTCTGCTTTCATTAAACTCAACCTCAGTAGACCATTTCATGCTGCACTAGTGTGACAATTACCATTTCCCACATCTATCAAGCTACGGCCCATAACGAGGTATCAATTTGTGTTGAATAGAAAATATTTCACTTCAAGAAAAAACATAGAATTTCATAGATTTGAAGCCTTAAAATAGTAGAGCGATGGCAAGATTAAAAATATACAAACTCACATTATATGATCTACCATGGCGCTGCTTCCACTGGACTAGTACAATCTGAGCTATTACCAGGGTGGCAATAAGAATTAGCACCATCTCCGCATGCATAGCCTCGTGCCCACGGTGTTTTGCATGTATCTTGGCATGTTGTAACCTGTGAAAATGACAATTGTAAAACAAACGGTTGTGTATTGAAACAAGCTTCTAAAGTGAAGAAAGTGTTGAGGAGTACAGTAAAACTCGCATACATCTTCACTTTATAAAGCGTATAATCACCTAAGTCGTACATGCACCCGAGTCCCATTCAGTTCCCCATCAAACTGCTTAAATTTCTTTGCACTAGTCGTATTTTATAAGCAAATCATCTCCATTCCCCTATTCTCCAATACTCCTGCACTGACTAGTTGCATTGGATTGCATTGAATCTCGGAAACATAGTCTTGACCCATTAATTAATCCATTAATTTGCGTAGAATTCCCTTCCCCCGACACACACCTTCCTGTTCAATGCAGGCTCTATTTTACCTCCACCCAATTCCTTGTAAACGACATTTACTATATTTACACTTGTTTAGTTAGTCCAGATTACGTTTCAGTGTTTGCATGTGGACCATATTCAACATAGTCTTTCTTATCACCCACAGGTGAATCACTTCAAAAGATGCTGTATGATGCTTTTAACCTTCAAAAAAAAAAGAAGTTCCTTTCTCTAATGTGTTCCCCGCATTTTCTCCTGTAAAATGTATTTTTTTTGTACAGCTTTTTCTGCCTCGCCTAGATTTTGTTGGTCTCTGGCAAAGTTTGCACAGTGCGTGTTTCTGTTGCCTTCTATTGTGGATTGGAGTTTAAGACATTTTCAGCAGGCGAAACGGGAAGGAATTTAAAGACTCGACGTCAAGATATTTCTGTTCTTTCTCGCTTCGCGTATGAATGAGATACACAGGCAATCGAGGGAACCGAAGAGAAGACTGGGGAAGTGGTAGAATCTAACAGCAAAAGCTATAAAACCCACAGAGATTGTACATGGTGTCCCTGTATTCTCCCTGTGCGCTGTGCACTCATTCTGTCTCCATCCTTAATTCCATGTTGCTGTCTCTTCCAACAGTCAGATGTCAAGTGCTGTCAGTCACTAAGTGCTGGTCTGTCTCCCTCCCCGCTCGGGCTCCTGCTCACTTTCTAAAGTGGAGTCCTGCAGCTCAGTGGTGAGAGCACTCGCCTCGCAAGCGAGAGACCTGGGTTTGATTCCTAGTAGGGCGAAACTTTGGGTAAGCTTTCTTACTCCACACGCCTGATAATAATGCCTCAAGAAAAAAACAATAATAATTTAGTCACTCAATCCATGACTGTTTGTGGGACACTGCTGTGCGCAATTGGCTGCCGTGTTTCGCCCACAAATACGCAGTCAATTCACTTTACAGTATATTCTGTGAAGCGCTTTGAGACGTCTCAAAGACTTGAAAAGCGCTGCATCAAATGCAAGGATTATTATTATTATTATTATTATCACCGCATGTGCCGGCTGCAGGGACGAAGTACAACTTGTACATTTACCAGATGCATCTGGAGATATTTTTGTCACAAAGCTCTCAGAGATGACAAAGTTACAATATTTTACTTCCACTTAAATTTCTAAATTACTAACATAAGATATGTAAGCTGCTTCTTGTTCATCCTATTGTTTTTAATTTTCCTTTTTAAGACTTTTACTTTCTCCCACCCAAAAGAATCTGTCCAAATCACTATCTTGAGTATACCAAAGTTTCCATATCCTTGGCTATCTTTTATTACATGTTCCACATACAAGTGGATGTTGGCCATTACACACAGAAGGGGGGCTGAAAATTACTTCTATGCACTCGACTGATCATCTGATCTACTTCCCTCTCCTGTTACCAGAAAACAAATAACTTTGCAGCGGTTAACCTGCTGTCTCTCACAACACATGTCCAATTACATTTAGATTTACCAAGACAGCAGACCAAGAGGTCACATGTTTAGGATTGCAAAAAGCAATTTCAGGGCAGACACCATAAGGTATTTTTTTTACCCTAAAGGTAATGACTAGAACAGGTTGCCAGAAAGGGTGATCGAGGTCAGGACAAGAAAACTGCGTTGATGTTGTGATGAGAGGACAATGCAGCAGCTGTTCTGGAAGAATAACCACTTGCGATAATAAATTGCATTGGGAGGATGTCCCATGGCGCTGGATAAGATTTAATGAGCAGAGGGACCTTCTTCATTCGAATGTCGTGACATTTCTGTTTAGGTTTATGCAATCTAAACAGAATCCTAAACTGCAATCCTAAATTCAACACTGAGTACACCTACAACAACAACAACAACAACAAGATTCCATTTATAAAGCGCCTTTCATGTCAGGAGGACGTCCCAAGGCGCTGCACAGTTGGGTCATGACCCGAGCAGGGGGAAATGGTCAGGGTGAGGGGAGGGAAGGGAGGGAGCGAGGAGGGGGAAATGGTCAGGGTGAGGGGAGGGAAGGGAGGGAGCGAGGAGGAGGAAGAGAGTCGAGAGGGGAGCTGAAGGCACGGTCAAAGAGAAAGGTTTTGAGACCGGCCTTGAAGGAGGAGAGGGAGGAAGCGGCGAAGGCACTGGGGATGGAGTTCCAGAGCCTCGGGGCTGAGAGGCTGAAGGCCCGGCCACCGATGGTAGGGCGGTTGGGGCGGGGGATGTGGAGCAGACCGGAGCCGGAGGAACGGAGGGTACGGGCAGGTAGGTAGGGGGATAGTAGGTCAGAGAGGTAGGAGGGAGCGAGGCCGTGAATGGCCTTGTAGGTGAGGATGAGGATCTTGAAATCAATCCTCTGGGGGATGGGGAGCCAGTGGAGGCGAGCGAGGGTGGGTGTGATGTGGTCCCGAAGCCTGGTGCGGGACAGTACACGAGCTGCAGAGTTCTGAATGACCTGCAGCTTGTGGAGGGAGGTGGCGGGAAGGCCGGCGAGGAGAGAGTTCCCATAGTCCAGCCTTGAGGTGACAAAGGCGTGGACCAGGGTTTCAGCAGCGTGTATTGGGCAAATTAGATATTTCTGTTAGGTACCTTTACAGGTTTCCATTGCACATTCAATCTCATTCATTCTCCCACTTGCCCACTCGAGTATGCATCCTATCACAGAGGAATATACCAAATACTATATGCAACACAGAGAACATCTGTGATATCATTGTTATGAATGGTGCAACTTGCACTAATCAAGGCCCGTCAATCCAGAAACTAATTTTCACTAACCATGAATAGCAAAGAGGACTTCGATTCCCTTTCCCAGCTAAGGAGAAAGAAATTGCCTTTTCAAAGCACCTTTTTAGGTTGAAACATCTCAAAAGGATTTATTAATGATGTCAAGTGTGGTGACTATCTGTTGTAGGCAAACAAAACAGCGATTTTGTGCATCAGAATTTCCTTAACCTTAGTCCCCAAAGAGCCACGAAACAAAATAATCATCTTCAAGCTTATTAGCCAAGATGCAGAGATAAACTGCTTTCCTTTCTGAATAGTGTCCTTGGTTCCTCAATATCCAACTGAACAAGCAGGCGGGACTTTGGTTTAATATCTTATTCGAAAGACAACAAAGCCTGACAATACAGTACTCCCCCAAAAGATTATGGAGTCAGCCTATGTTACGAGCTCAGTTCTTCAAATGGTACTTGAACCCACAACTATCTCCCTCAAGAAACAAGATTGCATTCAGAGACATATTTTAATTAAAAATGTAAGAGTCTCTTTTTACTTCCTCTCATGAGAGGCTTAATGAATAGACAGTGTCATGGATATTTTCGAATAACTAAGACCACCATAATATTTCTGGAAAGAAACAACACAGGAGTAGGAAATAAGCACTGTAATTTTTGGGATTAACTCTTCTAAAACTACAATTTAATGGAAGTTTTTTTAAAGCAATCAGGTGTATCAGGTTTCTTTTAGAAGTAGAATTTTTTTATAAGTGGCGACAAATAATGAAATTCTACTATTATTTTCTATTGCTTAACATTGACTAGACTGTAAAGCTTTACAGTCTTCACATGATATGGGCTTCCATACTAATAAAAACACTTTACTACACAATAAACCCAGAGTGGAAATGGCTGTATACTGCAGACATTGCACGGCTTACCTCCATTGGTCGTCTTCTGAAGGGAGTTTTAAAAGGTCAATCTAAGGGAAAAAATAAAGCCATTTGAAAATGTGATCTCAATACAGTAGATCCCCATTATGATTGGTAGTTAGGGTCTATAAAATTCCCTCCAGCCTGCATGAAGTCCTGTGGGTGGCAACCTAATAACCCAGTCAGTGGTTGATAAACTAAAATGGTCATCAGGTTACCATTGTGCATGTACAGCTGGCATTTTGTAATACCAATGGAGTCTGTGATAAGTATATTGTGATAACTAAACGCTAGGATCAACATACCACCTTATAAGTGACCCAGTGTTACAACAGAACTCCACTGTAGTTATCTATAGTTCATCAGTGTAGAATGTAGATATATTGCCATGGAAAATGATATTTGTTGGCATGTATTCGCACAAGAGAAATTGATCAAATAACTCAAGGCCAAGGCTACAAATTATTATATGTATCACCTTACAATTGTCCGCATTAAACTTCATTTGACATTCATTTACCCAATCAACTAATCTCTCTCTGTCTCTCTGAAATGGCAAATAAATAATCTTCTAACCCAAATAAACTTCCATCGATGAAAATCGTTGTTGCAAGACGAAAATTGAGAAAAAAATTTAAAACAGCTAATAGTGTTACAAAGAGCATGCTGTGGTGTCAAAGGTGAGCAATGGGGAGAAGGCGGTTGAAAAGCTTGTAGTGAGCGTGATTCACCAACACGTTTTACTGAGGCAGCAGAGAAGGTCTGTGACTAATTCTTGGTTTGCAGGACTAACGGGTGAATGACAAAATCATGTGCTTGAACTAATTTGAAGCATGAGGAACAAGTCTACGATCGATTCAGTGGAGAAGCTGGTATGTCCTTAGTCAATGCAAGAATCAAAAATGGTTCTATAAAAATGCAAGTTGTTGTTGTTAACAAGTGGTCGAGATCAAAGATTGCTGTATTCATGACTTTATAGAGGCAATAAATGTGAAAAAATATGACGACAGTCCATTGCTTGTTTTGTGTCCATTGATTTTTTTAATAAAAATCAAAAAAATTGAAAGTAATTGTCAATATTATCCGATAATTAATAAAAAATGATTTCCACCAACCCAGTCTATACAGTACCTCTTGCCCCGATGCTTAAGGGAACTTAAAATATATTTTGTTTGATAAGACACTTTATTTCATACAGAATATACATCCTGAATGGTTAGTGGGATATCAAATAGGTTCAAAATTGTAAATCTATTTAGCTATAGAGCTAAATATGGAAAAGCATTTTCCATTACCCAATGAGATATTTGTAGCCAAAAAAATCATATTGGGCCAGAAAAGACAGTTCTTTTACGGAGAACAAAGACATTTATTTTTAGACTCCATCCCAGAAGCTTTTAAATTGTAAAACAATGTTTGCAAATTCTGTCCATAGCCCCAAAAGTATTTTTTTATTTCTCTTGATAGATTGATAGCCCAAGTACATTCCATAGCACAATTGTGCTCTGAGTCCACAAAGAAACTGTTTAGAAGCTATTTACTCTCCTATGAAGTTGTGTGCTCTCTGTCCATATCATGACAGTGGATTCTTCAGCTCGAACTACAAATTATGCAGGACTATTTTCTCACGTAAATCACATGCTATCCAACAACTATTAATTAGCAGCAACATTGCCACCAATGAACAGGAGATCTCAACTGCTAAACCTGCGTTAACTGTTATGACAACCACAGAACCAGTGACCTTCTTCCTCCTTTGCATAAACGAAAATCATCTAAATCCACACTAAATCCATCTCTTTGTTATTAATTTTATTTTGAAATTTGTTTATTTATATCCACTGTAAATAGGTCAAAAAATTAACTTAATATGGCATTTTTGCAATCAATTTATGCATACCATTTCGCAAATTCTTTCGTCATGTTTGGTCTATCCAGTATGTACACTCTATTCCTTCTCCCCCTCTCTCCCACTTATCCAAAGCACGACACACTTGTTTTTGTTTGTTTGTACATACTCCCCCTTTGGTGTGACCAGGTTAATGTATTTTGAAACTAAAACTTCAACTGCATAAGTCTTCATTTTATAAGCGCTTTGTGCAGCACATGAAGATTCAGTAATTACCATAGCCCAGGACACTTCAACCCACGCTAATACCACAATAAAACGGTTAACACTACAGAACTGCTTCATCTCTTAAGAATGTCCAAGTAAAGTTTACATACCACATGTGCGAACTGGACAGTAACACATGACTTGTGGTGAATGTCTGAAATAAGCCCTTTTTTGACTCACAAGTTGCACGCTACACAAGCAGGGCCAAGGTCAGCCTTGTAAACCGTCCTGCTTCACGTGAATAGTGTATTTTCTATCAGTATACTTATTTAAATAATGCTAGAAAATACATTTTGTGCAGACATTACATTTAAAAATACTGTGACTATCCTCCTGTGAAAGGGGTTGAGGGGAAGGTAAGCCGCGTGGCGGGGAGGAAGGTAAGCCGCGTGGCGGGGAGGAAGGTAAGCAGAATGGGGGGGAGGAAGGTAAGCCGCGTGGCGGGGAGGAAGGTAAGCAGAATGGGGGGGAGGAAGGTAAGCAGAATGGGGGGGAGGAAGGTAAGCAGAATGGGGAGGGAGGAAGGTAAGCAGAATGGGGGGGAGGAAGGTAAGCAGAATGGGGGGGGAGGAAGGTAAGCAGAACGGGGCGGGGAGGAAGGTAAGCAGAATGGGGGGGAGGAAGGTAAGCAGAATGGGGGGAGGAAGGTAAGCAGAATGGGGGGGGAGGAAGGTAAGCAGAACGGGGGGGGAGGAAGGTAAGCAGAATGGGGGGGAGGAAGGTAAGCAGAATGGGGGGGGAGGAAGGTAATAATAATAATAATAATAATAATCCTTGCATTTGATATAGCGCTTTTCACGTCGGGAGGACGTCCCAAAGCGCTTCACAGAATATACTGTAAAGTGAATTGACTGTATATTTGTGGGCGAACGCGGCAGCCAATTGCGCACAGCAATGTCCCACAAACAGTCGTAGATTGAAAATGACCAATTTATTATTGTTTTGGGTTTTTTGGAGGGATTATTATTAGGCTCTGTGTGGAGTAAGGAAACTTGCCCAAGGTTTCACCCTCTGCCTGGAATTGAACCCAGGTGTCTTGCTTGCAAAGCGAGTGCTCTAACCACTGAGCTACAGGACTCCACTAAGTAGAATGGGGGGGAGGAAGGTAAGCAGAATGGGGGGGAGGAAGGTAAGCAGAATGGGGGGGAGGAAGGTAAGCAGAATGGGGGGGAGGAAGGTAAGCAGAATGGGGGGGGAGGAAGGTAAGCAGAATGGGGGGGAGGAAGGTAAGCAGAGTGGGGGGGAGGAAGGTAAGCAGAATGGGGGGGGAGGAAGGTAAGCAGAGTGGGGAGGGATGAAGGTAGGCAGTGGCCCTAGCTTTTGCCACCCTAAGCTTAATACACTCCGAAAATAGGTAAGCAGGATAAATATTCCAGAGAGTCAATGGGTGTGTATTCCACTGCAATACCCAGGAATTTCCATGTGTAGGTGGGTTGCTCAGTCTGGTTTGGGCACTCATAACCAATTTCAAAATTTTCACACTCGTTTTCAAACCCCTTCATGCCCTGGCGCCTCCCTACCTCTCCAATCTGCTTACTCCCCAAACCACTCTGGGACACTACCCTGTCTGAGGGCGCTATATAAGTGCAAGTTGTTGTTGTCATAAGCATTACAAGGTGTCACGAGGTGCCACATAAAAGGCTGCTACACAAGATTAGGGCCCATGGAATTAAAGGCAAGACATTAGCATGGATCGCAGAGTGGCTGAGAAGGACCCGTTTACCCTTGGGAGCGTGGCAAGATGTGGCAAGATGTGACTAGTGGAGCGCCACGAGGGTCAGTGCTTGGGCCTCAACTATTTACAATCTATATCAATGATCTAGGCGAGGACATAGAACTTAAAATATATAAATTTGCGGATGATATTAAGCTAGGTGGGAGAGTAAGCTCGGAGGATGACACAAAAAGATTGCAAAGGGATATGGATGAGTGGGCAAGAAGGTGGCAGATGGAATATAATGTGGGGAAGTGTGAAGTTATTCACCTGGGTAGTAAAAATAGAAAAGCAGATTATTTTCTAGAGGAGGAGAGACTAGGTAGTGTTAGTGTTCAGAGGGATTTGGGTGTCCTTGTACACCAGTCACAAAAAGTTAATATGCAGGTACAGCAAGCAACTAGGAAGGCTAATGCCATGTTGGTGTTTATTGCAAAAGGGTTAGAGTACAAGAGTAGGGAAGTCTTGCCGCAACTGTATAAGGCCTTAGTGAGACCGCACCTGGAATACTGTGTGCAGTTTTGGTCTCCTTATTTAAGAAGGGACATACTCGCCTTAGAGGGAGTGCAGCGTAGATTCACTAGGTTAGTTCCTGGGATGAGGGGGTTGACCTATGAGGATATTGAGTAAATTAGGCCTATATTCTCTAGAATATAGAAGAATTAGGGGTGACCTTATAGAAACACTATACACTATACCCCCCCACACACTATACCCCCCCACACACACACTATACACTATACCCCCCCAACACACACACACTGTACAATACCCCCCACCACACACACACACACTATACACTATACAGCCCCCACACACACACAAACACTATACACTATATACCCATCCCACACACTATACTCCCCCCACACACACACTATACCGTCCCACACACACACACACACTATACCCCCCCCACACACACTAACCCCCCATACACCCACTAACCCCCCCATACACACTATACACCCCTCACCCACACACTATACCCTCCAAACACACACTGTACCCCCACCCACACACACACTATAACCCCCACACACACACTACACCCCCCATACACACACTATATCCCCGTCCACACACACACACACATACTGTAAAGTGTAGTGACTGATTTTTAAAGACAAATTGTACTTTAATAACAAAACCCTATGGAATTTAATATGTAACTTAACAAAATACTTGGGCTTTTCCCCTGAATCCTAATTTTTTAAAAA